CTGGATTGGGCTCCGGTCGCGGGCGCTCGCGTCCCTGCTGTGTTGGGTCGGGCTGCGGGCCGTCGTCCTCGATGTCCAGGACGGTCCAGTCCGCGGCGACGTCCTTCTTGGGGGCGGCGCGGGGCTGGGCCGGCGTCGGTGGGTCTGGCGGGGCGCGATGTAGTTGATTGATGTTGCGGACGTGGATCTGTCCTGTGGCGTCCCGCACAGTGTACATCTTGTTGCCAAGGGTAGCCACGATGTGTCCTGGAGAGAACTTCGCAGCGCCCGGGCGGTGGTCTCTGAAGCTGACCGGCTGTCCAGGCTCCAGGCGGGGCAGGCGGTTGGCTTCAGGTTCTGGGTGGGGTGGTGTTGGTTTCATCACGTCCCACGGGGTGCGGAGCGGACGGTTGAACACTCTAACTGCTGGGGCTTCCCCCGTGGCGGACGACGGCGTGATGCGCATCGCGAAGAGCGCGCGGTCGGTGCGGGCGTGCCAGTCCCCCTCGTTGAATTTCTTGACGAATCCTTTGAAGGTGGCGACTGTCCGTTCCGCGAGGCCGTTGCTCTGAGGGAAGTACGGGGCCGATGTGAGGTGTTGGCACCCGTTTCTTGCCAGGAAGTTCTCGAAGTCCGGGCTGACCAGTTGACGTCCGTTGTCCGAGACGAAGAGATTGGGCACGCCGTGGGTCGCGAACGCTGTCCGGACGCATCTGATGAGCTCGGCGGCTGTGAGGTTTCTGACAGGGTAGATCTCCGGCCAGCGGCTCCAGGCGTCGATGAGGATGAGGAAGTTCTGGCCGTCCACGTAGCAGAAGTCGCCGTGCACTCGCTCCCAGTGGCGGCTTGGTGTTGGCCACGGAGTGTATGAGGGCGTGGGGTTTCTTTGGTGTTCTCTGCAGGTGGGGCAGGCCTTGACAATGTCAGTGATGTTCGTCGTGACGCCGGGCCACCATGCGTAGCTCTGCATGATCGCCTTCATCTTTGTCATCCCGTGGTGAGCGGCGTGCAGGCTGGCTAGCACTCGGCCGCGGAGGACCTCGGGCACGACGACGCGGTCGCCGCGGAGGATGCAGCCGTCCAGGGTGGTGAGCTCCATCTTGATGTTGTAGTAGGGCTGTAGCGGTGTGGTAATGACGTCAGGCCAGGTTGTGGAGAGGGCGTCGTAGAGGACGCGGAGAACCGGGTCTTGTTGGGTGGCCTCTACGATGTCCTTCCTGTTGACGGGGATGCCGCTGGACAGCTCTAGCAGGTGGATGCCGACTGCGTCCGGGACGATGTCGTCGTTGCTGTGCGGAAGCGGGAGACGTGAAAACGCGTCTGCATTTCCGTTCCGTTTTCCGGGTCGGTGTGACAGTTTGTATTCGTAGGCCCCCAGGATGACAGACCAGCGGAGCAGCCGTGGTGAAATGTGCTCCGGTGTCGGTGCGTGAGGCTTGAAGAAACCCACCAATGGTTTATGGTCGGTGTAGATGGTCAGGTTTGACCGGCCATTAATGCACTCGTGAAACTTGGTGATGCCGAACATGAGCGCGGCGGCCTCCTAGTTGAACGTGTCGTATCTTCGCTCCGCCGGCGTCAGTGTCCGGGAGGCGAAGCAGATGGGGCGCTCGGAGCCGTCGGGGTATGTGTGGGCCAAGATGGCGGCGACGCCGTAGTCAGAGGCGTCGACGGCCATGGACAGGGGTTTCTTGGGGTCGTAGAAGTCGAGGACTTGGTCGGAGAGCAATGTTGTTTTGACGAAGTCGACGGCTGCTTGGTGTGTTTCTGTCCACGTCCACGGGGTGTCCAAGTGCAGGAGCTTGTATAAGGGCTCAAAGTGGTGTGCTTTGGCTGGTAGGAAGCGGTCGTAGAAGTTGACTAGCCCTAGGAAACTCTGCAGCTGTTGCTTGTCCTTTGGTGACGGGAAGTTTCTGACGGCTTCGGCTTTGTCCTTGAGGGGGTGCATGCCGTGCTGGTCCACGCGGAAGCCGAGGAACGTGACGGAGTTGGTGCGGAAGGAGCACTTGTTTTTGCGGATGCGTAGGCCGGCTGCGTGGATCTTGTTGAGGACGGCGAGGAGGCGCTCGTCATGGCTCTTGATGTCCTTGCCGCTGACGAGTACGTCGTCCTGGAGCACCACCACTCCCGGGATGCCTGCGAGAAGGTCCGTCATGAGGCGTTGGAAAATGCCGGAGGCGGCGGATATCCCAAAGGGAAGACGGTGCACCTTGTAGAGGCCCAGGATGGTGTTTATGGTGAGGAGGTTGGCGGCGTCGTTGTCGACCGGGATTTGCGTGAAAGCTTGGTCCAGGTCGATCTTGGAGAACACCACCGAACCGGATACCTTGGCGAAGGCAGCGTCGGCCGTGGGCAGAGGGTACTTGTCGGGGCGCAGCACCTTGTTCACCGTGGACTTGTAGTCGCCACACATGCGGATGCGGCCGTCGGCTCGGTGCACGATGACGACGGGCGTGGCGTATCCGATGGGGGCGTAAGGTGTTGGTGAGATGGCGCCTTGGCGGTGCAGTGTGTGGATCACGTCGATGACCTTGTCCTCTGTTGCGTAGGGCACGGGGCGCGCGGGGAGGTACTTCGGCGCGGCCGCTTTGTCCCATTCGAGCCGGATAGGCGGGCCTCGGTAGCATCCCAGCTCGCTCTGGTCCTGGTTGAGTGCAGGGTGGAGCTGGATGTCCGGGGGCATGCTAGGGCTGAACTGATGGAGTCCCGCGATGGAGAATCCGAGTGCTGTGAACCAGTTGCGCCCGAGGAGTGTGTTCACAGTGGGTGACCCCTCGACGACAAGCAGTGGTAGCATTGTGTCCTTGTCCTTGTACTGAACTCGCACGGGGCGCGCGCCGAGGGCAGGTGCTGGGGGCGCGTCGAGGTACGGCTTCATAAGGATGTCCACTGGCTGCAGCTCCGGGCGGTGTCCAGGGGTGGTGGGCGGGTAGCAACGGTCATATGTACCTGATGTCATGACCGTGTACGTGGCGCCGTTGTCGACCTCCATGGTGCACGGGGTGCTGTCCAGTTGGATGCTGATGATGTTGGGCTGTGATGGGCGCAGAGACGTTGGATGGCATTCCCCGGCGAACCTCTCCAGCGGGTAGCGCGGTGGCTGTTGTTGGAGCAGGTTGTTGGCGTCCGCCAGACAGAAGAGGGCGGCGGCGTGGAGCGGGTAGCCGTGGGCGTCCGTTGTGGCCTCTAGAAGAACATCTGGGGGTTCGCACCTTGGGCCTGGTGCGGGTGGAACCCATTGCCGAAAAACAGCTGATGATCCGCGCTGGGCGCGCTTGGTGCGTGCTGCGCCGGGGCTCCGGCTGGCAGAGGGGGCGGGGCACATTGACCTTGCTGCCCAGCGAGGTGGGGGAGGGGGTGCGCTGCAGTCAGCTGAGATGTGCTGGCCTGGCTTGCCTGCGCCTGGCCGCCCGCTGGAGCTGCGGGGGGCTGCTGCTGCGTCACTGGGGTCGCCGGCGGCTGCTGCTGCTGCAGCGGTGGCGGCGGCTGGGCGTAGTAGTACATTGGGTAGGGATGGTACGGCACGTGCTGCTGAGGGGGCGGGATGGCAACAGTGTGGGCGTGTGCGGTGCTCGTGCTCTGCCTTTGTTCTTGCTTCTTGCCCTTCTTCCCGCGACACGCTGCTGCGTTGTGCCGCGGTGTATTGCAGGAAGTGCAATACAATGTTGCCGGGTCCACGGGGCACGACCTGGCGTTGTGGGGCCCAGCGCACTTGTAGCACCCTCTTGATGCGTTGCCCTGCTGTTGCACACTTTGCTGGGGCGTACCTGATTTTTGCTGATGTTGCTGACTCTTCTGTTGGCCGTGGTGGGCGTACGCTGCGTTGATTTGAGGCAGCGCCGCTGGGGCCTGGGCAGCGTACTCAGTTGTGTGTCCGCTAATTGTGCGGACATGGTCTTGGGTACACTCGGCCGTTGTGGCCTTGCTGAGGGCTTGCTGGAAGGTCACTTTTGATTCGGCATTGAGCAAGTACTGCTGTATCACTGGGTTTGCCAAACCACACATGAATTGCCACTTCAGGATATTTTGGGTAGCGTCTCCAAATTCGCACTTGGCGGCAGCGCGCCGCAGCCGGGACACATACGCGATCGTCGTTTCGCCGGTCTGCTGGCGGATTGCAGTGAACTGGGCGTAAGCTGCCGCGAGACTCACTTTTGGGCTGAAGTGCTGGTCCAGGGTGTCAGTGATCTCGTCAAATGTTGCTTCATTGATTTCTTTTGCTTCGCTCTTAAATATATCACAGGCCAAATTGAACAGCCTGCTGTCGCCATTGTTGTGTAATAATACTCTTTTCCTTTGAGAGTCTTCCGTCACCGTTTGTTCTGAGAAGGCTAGCTCAAGTGCCATGAGCCAGCGCTCCCATTCCTCCGGCTTATCCACATCAAATGTGGGATACAACTTGTCGCTTAGCGTTAAGACGCTGGACGTTGGGCGGGCTTGAGCTTGTTGTTGCACAAGCGTCTGGATGGACTCCAGCAGCTGATGAAACATACCGGCTGTGAACACTTGCTCTTCCATGGTGAATGATGTGGATGTTGTGGATGTTGCGGCTTGCGGCAGGTAATCCAAATTAATCCAAATTCACTTGTTGGGGTGGAGCAGTGGTGGGACCGGTGTTGTCCGGGCGGCGCGTTGAGCTCGGGTCCACTTGTTTCTTCTTTCTTGAATTTTCGATCTTCAATCCTCGTCGCCAATATTACGTTCGTGTGACGGTATCCAGTAGGAGAATTATGAGATTATCTGCTGGGTTAATCACTGTATTTAAACTTGTATCACACTGTATATACAAACACGTCTCGTCTGCGCAAGGGCTAGAGCGGGAGTGAGTAGGGCATACCCAAAACAGAGGCGCTGCCAACTTAAGATACTAAAAAGGGCGCGTAGGGCTGCCAACTTAACTTACATACTATGCCCGGAGGCGCGGGGTATCGCCATGCCTGGTGTATTGACAAGGCGGTGGATATGACAACACGTAAGACAAAAGAATCGCTTCACCAGCTAATATATTCGCTAGTATGTGGACAGATAACCTAATAAGTTTCTGGAATTGCTATATCAGCTATTCTAACCGATTATTGACCGTAGTAGTCGATAATTGACTGTAGTAGTCAATTATTGACTGTAGTAGTCTATTGACTGTAGTAGTCGATTATTGATGCTGCTAGATAACATGCAGATGGCAGTAACATTGGCTAACAGAGTCAGTATTCGACTACTACAGTCAATAATCGGTTAAAATTGCTCATTTAGCAATTCCAGGAAATTATGAGGGTTGTCTGTCCAAATACTAACGAATGTACTAAGAACGAATCTTCTTTTCCGTGCACAAGGCAATGCCTAGAAAGCATTGTTTCGTAATTCACAAAGGAGGTCTGGGAGATATCTGTCTACACCATACGTTTTCCAGATCTCGAACATGGCCATGGGGTGCGCCTGCTTTGTTACTTTAAAAAAACAAAACAAAAAAAAA